TGGGGGTAGATAGTACACATGAAACATAAAAAATCACGAAGTGGATAGTACACATGAAACATAGAAAACCACGAAAAGTCAGTAATTTTCTTGGTCAGAAGGGAAACACGACCACCTCCTCCCAAAAATGAGCGCATACGACTATTAAAAAAGTTCCTTCGCTCAAATACGACCTTGCCTCTCCTCCCTCTACCTGTAGGGGAATCCCCAACAACGATGTGCCCTGGGACCTATAGACTAGTGTTCCTACCTATACTATAATATAGACAGCAATCGTCGAATGTTTATGCCAGAAATCGTCGTAAATAGGAAAAGCATTATAAAGCACAGTAGAAGGACGCATTTTAAAAGAAGATGACTAGATATAGCTATTTGTATTGCTTCAGCAGTACTGCCCAATGAAGATTGGTTCGTTCTCTCGGAATATACCATAGATAAAAGGACGATCTGCCAAAAAGTGTGGAACTTTTATCAGTGCAAGCCTCCTCTTCATCCTCATTCCAGTTACTGCAGCCGCTTCTGTGCCCTCTTCATTTACCTGTAATTGGGACGTATACTACTAAATCCCAAATCCAAAAGACTTCGATCTACGAACTCATGTTATGCCATATGTGGATGTTTAGCCTCCCTACCCTGTCAGAAAATAGAACGAGCGGTGTCGCTTACACCGCAGTCTCAAGTCTAACTTGCGGAGCGGTTCGCGCCCGGGCCAACTAACCCTTCCTGCTCCTAAATTGAGGTACGTTCGGATTGGTGAGAACCTGCTTTCTCGCTGGTCCCGAAGTAATGGTGCCATAGCCAACCAGGAAGTGGGTTCCTGTCCGATTAACGATCTCTTCATGTACTGGAGCAGTCCTGAAACCGAGGAAGTGCCGGTTTCGTCAAATGAATGAACTCAGCGGGAGGGAGCGATCACTACCCTCCTCTGAATGGCTGACCTGCTTCGTGGAGGACAAAAAGTGAAACATCATCATCGACGAACCCATACACCACAGGCGGGTGGTCAAATCCCTGATAGGCTTCCGTTCAGACCAGCCGAACCTTGTACCCTCCGGGGACGGGAGTGGTACCATCTTTCTGGAGGATAAGAACATTACATTGAACATTGGCTGGCCCCGCAAGTCATTGTCATAGGCCACATCGCATTCAGCAGGCCCCTGCGATCCTGGATGAAAGTCGAATGCGTGTCGCATCCCAAAAAGAGATGATCAGAGGCGAGGACTTTATTCTTATCCTTCGCTGATTGACTATCGCTGTGATCAGTGCCGGTTCCAGTGATTTCTCCTGAGACTCGTTGATAAGTTTCATTTTGATGTTCTCAATTGATTCTCCGTAATATTTAATTACGCGCATCGCAGGGTAAGGTTGCCATCCTCCGAGCAAGTGGTCGGTGGTGTAGTGGATAGGTGAGTTGCTTCATAGGTGGTAGATCATGGTTCGGTCTCCTGACGGCTCGGGTTTTTTGCCTTTTTTTCGGAACATCTTCTGCGAGTCCAGAAAATACTTCTATCCGTTATTTTGTCAAGCTTTCTCTTACTTGCAGCAGGAAAAGATTCAAATGCCGGCAATTGTGCTTCCCTTTCAAGACTTTTAGGCACTATTTACCCTTTACTGCCCCAATCATCCGAAATCAGGCCAGTTTTTGACCGACTTTTTCTCCGTGGGCAGAACTGGCTAAAAAGTTGTCTCCTAGGGTAGTTTGACCTCCTGAACATGAATATCACATCCGCTCGGCACGAAACCTCCTGGCGCCCGCGCCACAGGTGCCGGCGCCAAAATACTCCAAATCACCGGCGCCTGTGGCGCAGGCGCCAGGTAGCTTCGTGCCGAGCGGATGTGTTATTCATATTCAGGGGTCAAACTACCCTAGGAGACAACTTTTTAGCCAATTCTGCCCACGGAGAAAAAGTCGGTCAAAAACTGGCCTGATTTCGGATGATTGGGCAGTAAAGGGTAAACACTCGGAGCTACACCGTGAATTAGACAGTGCAGATGGCCACTCCCCTTTGACACGATCATCTTGAATCTTTCCTGCTGCAGCGTAAGAGAAAATCCTGACAGAGAAGGGGGACGAGAGACTGCGCAGAAGATTCCGCATAAGAAGCAAAAGACGTCTGACCTGTCAGAGAGCCAAACCCTGAACTCTTTTATAATATCAGGGGGGGGCCCAAAAAACAATAGTCATTCTTGGCGTCCTCCCCATGATGCTTTCTAAGGCGCTGATTAAGTTACACTTTGACTTATCAATATTTTACGTCGGATCATCTTTTACTACCTCATATTAAAGAGCACATTAATAATACATGATTACTCGGCCACAGCGTCCTTCTGTGAGGAGCGCTGATCCGAAGATTTCTTGGCCTACGCGACCGCGATGGGTACCTGAGATCAGCAGGGTAGTCGATTTCTCCGCCACCGTAGACCACCCTATTGAACTCCGCCCGAACTAGGTAATTGAGTGGGTTCAGGTCAGGGGACATACTTCAATATTACATCTTCTTCAGGTACGAAACGCCCTTCCATTCGAAGTAGGCGGGAGTTTTTCCAAAACCCTTTGATTCCATGTGGTGGCACCCAAACCTGTAGCAGCACAAGGTCTCCTCAGATCACGGGGCGACCAGTAGGGAGGATATTCTTCTCGAGTTACTTGATGTAACTGCCAGCGCTCACCTTCAGTCCGGGTCTACAAAGAAAATATCGATCTTCCCATTCCAGGTACCGGCCGGTCCATACCATCAAACTTCGTCGCCCTCGGCGAACTAGGGATGCAGATGAGCTGTCCTAGACCCGTAGCGACGTATAGAACCGAATAGCCTGCTCGACTGCTGGGACGCGTTCTTCCTGCACATCCAAGAGCACTGACCACCTCCAGGTACGCTATCTGTGGATGACTCATTCAAGAAGTTCGCCAGGCTGTTCGGACGGCGACCCGTGAATTCAAAAGTCCTCTCGTCAGCCCGCGACCTGAGGATGACTTCATATTTTGGCGTACATGCAAGGCGATGGCGAGCCTGCTCAGCTTAGGAGAGGAGTCTCGGGTATCTATCCACTCTGGTACTCATATCACTTCCCCTGTCTGGGCTGCGAAAACTTCGTTGATATGTGGCTCGGCCGAAATGACTTTTTTTTTTTGGCCCCCCCCCTGTATGTAATAGTTTACCTATCCACTATACGATCGACCACGTGTGCGAACGTCTGTATTCGAGCTTAATTGATGCACGCAACAGATGACGCGCCAGTGCTTTATTTTTTGTTGCTCGTAGGTGCGACTACCACCCCCCCTAACTCCTCATAGAGAATCGTTCGGCAAATTTTGGAAGCAGATTTGAGTTCAGCGTCCCAAGACCTACACGTCGATATGCATCTCATCTTGAATGGCCATGGCGACCTGTTGACCTTCCCTGGTTATTTGTAACTATGCCCCATGTAGAGGAAAGATGCGCATTACAGTATAAAATCAAAGCGGTTCAAGTATCGTAGCGCAGTGCTCATAACTGTTCTGGCCGACATCCAACTCCCTGGAGGCATGAACGATATCGTCTTCTAATGAAAAAATCAAATTATTCGAAGACATCTTGAGTTCGTGCAACCTCTAATTCTTCGAAGCTTGTCCTCTCTGCAATCTCCACTGAGGCAATAACACCGTAAGGTCTCGTAGATTAGCCCTCCCTTCCCCCCATCAGATGTGCGTGCGCGCGAACATCATACGGGACGCTATAAGTTGAATCCAATTTGTTCATCCAAGATAGTTTCGTATCTTATTCCAGTTAACTAAACTGCTCTCTCTTCGAAAACACTACAGATTTTCTCTCCTTCTCACGTAAATCTCTCGTCAGTTCTCCGATCATTCATCTATTACTGGTTGTTTACACTTATATTTGCATCTGGTGAACGTCTTTCAGAAACCAATTGATCTTTAGGAGGCTCTCCAGCTGATAGAATCTTTTAAGGCTAAATGATGAATTATTGGAGAACTGACGAGTAACAGAAGTCCAAGGCAGACAACAAGAATAGAAGGTTCAGTAGTTTTCGTAAAGAAAGTTAAGCAGTTTCTTGGAACAGGAAAAAAATGGAAATGTCGGTGATGTAGTAGAGAACGTTGAGTTCAGACTGAGAACTCATGTTGTCCGCTTTCCTCTGCTCAGAGGTCCCTCGTAAACGCGGCCTAATGGCACACTGGATTTCATAAGATTGTCCCTTTTCTAATGACAGACTAGATTCAACAAGACTGTCCTTTTTGATTCTTTTTCTGGTTCTACTAGATCCATTTATTGTGAAACCAATTTAGATTACGTTTTCAAAAGTCTTTCATTGAGTTTTCCCCACATGGACTCCTCTCTTCTTGTTGCTGGTTTCCAAACTTCAGTTATTCAATGTCTCATAAGTTCTTCGACTATTGACTT